CTTTTTGCACTCATGGTTCCCCTGAGCAGTGGCAGCAGCACAGGAAGAGCGGTGAAGGGTGCTGTGTGGAGCAGGAAACAAAGACATATGAAGAAGCCGGAGCTGGAGCCAGTTAGGAGAGCAGCAGCAGCAGCAACACAAACAGGCTCTCCCAGCAGTTTCATGTAGATGCTAAATAGCACAGGGCAATGGTTCCCAAACTTTTTGCACTCATGGTTCCCCTGAGCAGTGGCAGCAGCACAGGAAGAGCGGTGAAGGGTGCTGTGTGGAGCAGGAAACAAAGACATATGAAGAAGCCGGAGCTGGAGCCAGTTAGGAGAGCAGCAGCAGCAGCAACACAAAAAACAAAGAAAAGCTTCTGCATTGCTCCTGGATGGTTTGGTAGCTTACTAGGGAGCTGTGGGGTGCTGCAGGGGGTGCTACAGCACACACTTTGGGAAGCTCGGGCGTAGGAGACAAAACAGAACCCTAAGGGGCCCCACAGGCCAATGGCCAGGGTGTAGAACAGGAGTCTCCCAGCACCACCCTCTGACTTCTCCCCTCCAGGAAGGACCAGCACCACAGGAAAACAGTGCCTCCAGATTTCATCCTAGAGGGATGGTCCAGAAGGATATCATCGTCAAGGGTAGTGAAAGCCAATGAGACGTCTTAAAGAATCAACAAGGACACACTCCCGCTTTCCAGTTCCTGGAATAGGTTATCCACCAAGGTGACCAAAACAGTCTCTCCCCACCCCTTTTTTTTTTGTGGTCCCATACTTTCCAACATGATCCATTTCTGCCATAACCCAGTCAAACCACATAGGGACATGCCTAGCTGACCCATACTGTAGGTCCCTGAACAGGGGATATTTAATGCTAAGATGCTCCATATGCCATTGGGGGTCAGAAGAAAGAAAGAAAGAAAAATCACAGACTTATGCCTTTTCGGGGTGGGAAGGTGGAAGAAGCATTTTATTGTTCTACCTGGCGAAGTATAGAAAGGTGCTACTCCATGGTGAGAATGAATGAATGATAAAGGTAGTAACACTTTGATCCAAACCCAAACCACAGCATGATGACAGATACACAACAGTTAACTCTAAGGGACTGGCTAAAATCTAGTTGCTTAGCACCATAAATTGCACTAGCCTTGGCTCACATGAATCAGTGGAACTTACAGAGGAACTGCCTCACTAAATCCCCACCAATTCAATGAGACTACAGTTTACTACATTAAGCAGCAAGCAACTAAGCCACTGTTTTTGGCAGATTATGACTATAAACTGTGCACTGTTGGAAACTTCCTTCCACGTGGCACACATTAATGGGAGTTTAAATGTCACAGCTCAGACTTGCTGAAAAGCAGAGGGCATATAGGTCCCCAATAACATCATGTCATACAGCACGGTGAATGAGTGAATGAATGAACGAGTGAATGAATGAATTTATTTTGTGTGTCACTGAAATCACATTCAATATTCACCTCTTTCACCGACAATTATAACATAAATATATTTTGAGGCATATAATCTGTGTACTTCAAAACATTATTATCCCACTGTTGCTAATGAAGGTCCTAAGGCATAAAATTATTAAATGTATACTTTTCCAAGGGGGAATAATTGGGTCAATGATATAAAATTCATTGTCCAATTATTTAATTGCAAGGGCAAACCATGAATACAACTTCGACAATGTAGTTTAATGAAAAACACTACATCCTGACCTAATCATATCAACCTTATGCTACCTAATTAAGAATACAAGAAAAAATTAGAGTTGCAAAATATTACTTCCAGTTCTAGCTGCTAGCTGTGCCTTTGTTTTGTGTGTGTGTGTGTGTGTGTGTGTGTATGTATATATGTATATGCATATAAATGTGATAAATATTAGATAATGGGAAAATGACAATATTTGCATCATGGCAAATTACTTTAATAGACTCATTCTTGAATACAGAAAGTGACCTTTTCCCCTATTAAATGGATGGCTAAAAATACCTTCAAAATTATGGTATGGCTGTCTTCCCTTCAGTGACAAATTGCATGTCTGAACAATGTAAAAATTATAAAGTAGAAAAGCCTTAAATTCTCATTATACTGTAAATGTGTCCTCGACTGCTGCATTTATCAATTTAATAAAAGGAAATTAAGCATATTTTAAAATATCCAGTTATGTCATTTTTAAAATGCCCCCGTATCAACCCCCATGAGCCTTGTGAACAGCTTCTGAGACCCTGGTCTTTGATTCTTCAGTAAATGTTGTTATGCTGATGAGTACCAGGGTAAATACTTTTTGGTAAGGATTTGCAATTGCATTTGTGATTCACCAAATAGTGCTATATTCAGTTAGCAGCAAGTGGAGGGTGGGTGGGCAAAAGCAGCCAACTTTCCATAACACGCAGCAGCAGCTAGTAAAGAGGGTCCAACCAGCTCTGAAGGGTCCCACAGAGCAGGAAGAAACTAGCCATGTTCATAGCACCTCAAGCAGCAGTACCAGCAGCTCTATCCCACAGTGCAAGTCCCTCACTCCTGTCATGAGATGGCAAACTTTCTGGGACACAGTCTTGACAAGCATGGCAGGGCCTGTACTCCCGAAACACTGCCCCAGAGGGAGGACATGGCATGGGGCCATTTGAAGATCTATTTCAGGACAATTGTCCTTTTGAAGATATTGTCTGTTTGACGTTTGGTCCAACTCCAGTTTGAAGATTATAAGCCATAAGGAGAAGGTCAGTGGCCTTGCAGTCTCTCATCTATAGTCAGCAGTTGGACAGCAAACTCAGCAGCATTTGGTCACTTGATCAATGTCTTGCCTTTTTGAATAAGAGGTGCTAATTTTACCCCCTATGTATAAAACAATCTCCTTTTTGGTGATCTGTAAGTAGGTACACTAATAGGACTTTTTATCCAAACACTTACCTAAGTCCCGTTGGCGGAAATCCAGCAGCATAAATTACCCTGCACAAAGCTGATGATGTCATCACACACAGTGTTTGGGTTGTATTTTTGCTTTGTTTTTTAAATTAAAAATTTCCAATTCCTCCCCCTGTCCTAATGTCCCAAAGATCTCTTTGAGTCCCTTTTGTCATGGGGAGGCCATTGGAGGCCACTGGACTGGGGAGGATGTCTTTAATTTCCAAATATTGCTGCCGGGAGATGAATGAAAGAGGTCCCAAGTGAGTCTCAGGACCTTTGAGGGGGACTGAAAAATTTTAGTTTCTGTTAAAGTGCCACTGCTCATGACATCATAATCCCGTCAAACACAGGAAGAAGCAGTCCTGGCAGAGAATCCTGTAGTCTGACTTTAAACAGGAGTTCCCTCACCAGGAAGTGGTAGCATTGCTTCACAGATGATTCATTGGGTGGAAGTTTTGCTGAGGATGGTGGCAGCAGAAGTTGTGGGCAAGTTGGAGAAGCAGAGATGAGCTCCCACTTCTCCCAGTTTATCTGAAGCACATGGATCACTGTGGTTTATGACTGAGCTAGACCTGAAATTTATTTCCCACAAGGAATTGCTGGCAGGTCTAGCAAATTATTTCCAGATTGGCTAGAGCTATCTAGCTATGCATTATTGATTACAGAATTCAAGGTTGAAGGGAAGGGCATAAATAAAGAAAAGGTCAAGAATCATGTGCCAACCTCCAACACCCATCAAGATGTGTAATTATCTCTTTGCAAAGGAATTGGTTTATCAGATACCACAACTATGTTCCATTGTGGAAAATATTCCTCCAAGCTAGTGTTCCAAAAGGACGTATCAAATTTTCTTCCTATCCTCAGTTTTCACTCTCACAGGGCCACCATGGCATAATGATAGGGAGGGACATCAACATGGACAGTGTGGCTTCCAACATCCTTCCATTTGCCAGGGATGCCAGATCCTTTCCACTGAGATCCTTATTGCAGTTCCATTTTGGAGAATCAAATGTCAAATCAAATATGAGACAGGCGATCCATTACATTCATTAGAGGCATCTTCAAAGATACTGATGTACTGAGACATTTAGATGAGAGTTTGAAAAAAGTTGCTCTTTTTGGATGCCAACCTCCCATCCAGCAAAACCAGAAGCTGGATGGGAGGAATTCGAAGATAAATTTAAGTATTAACTGTTTTCCAAATAGATCAGGCAAAATCCAAAGAAACAAAACGAAACAAAGACAAAAACATGTGGCACCTTAAAGACTAAGCATTATTTGTAAGCTTTTGTGGACACATTCACTTGGTCATACATTAAGAGACAGAATAGAGTATTCCTTATTCTTTTGATTGGCACATCTGTCCCTTTATTTTTCCCTCCCAGGGTCAAACTGTCTTCAAGAAAGAGACTGGAAAATAATTACTGTAGAAGAATATCTGATGTTTGTAACAGTGACAAGAGAAGCTGTGTGTATCTATAAAAAGTGCTGATCTTCCTCAGAGAAAACTTTACAGACTTGAAGTTTGTGTGAACTCTTTTTTTGCTGGAGTGTCAGTTTATTTAAACAAAATCTTACCTTTATTTTGTCTTTAGCTCTCCAGACTTCCTATTTACTACCCCAATAATGAAAAATGCACCACCCCACTAAAACACACAACAGTGAGCTTGGGGTATGTCCTAAGGCTTTTGTTAAATTCTCTAAAAATGGCAGACCTTGGCAGGCTGTTCTAATACATTTTTTAAAAAATCACTGGCTTCAATTATATTCAAAAATTCTGTAATTGCTTCATCAATGTTTGCGATTCCCATGCTCTGTCTCTACCTACCAGTAAATCACGGGAGTCATCTAATATTTTTGCTATGTGCTGTTACGTACTGTCAAGTCACTTTCAACTTATGGTGGCCCTATGAATTAATGACCCCAGAAGGTCCTATCATTAACAGCTCTGTGCAGGTGTTGCAAACTAAAGGCCATGACCATTATTCACAGGTAAGCTAACTTTGTTACAGGCGAAGTCCACGGGGGGAGGGAGGAAGAGAAGTGAAACATACTGTACCTTGAATCAAATATGCAAAGCTTTTTAGTGTAACCTACCCACCTTTCGTCTTTCACCACTGATTCCTCTCCATTGTTCTGCTTTTTTCACAATGTAGCTTAGCTCCTGGTTAGAAATTTCCAGATCAAATGGAATAAAGAAAGTGGATTCATCACTTTGAATTCTTTGGAGCATATCCAGTAACCAGCCTTCACTGTGTATTCTAAAAGAGGTAAGGAAGACATTTTCACCGCCACCTTATTGATTTATTATTTATTTGTTTATTTAAGTTACATGCTATCTCTCTGCCCAGCAAGGGCCTTCAAAGTTATGCACTACAATTTTTAAAGATCTGCAATTCCGACCCAATGAGCTAGAGTTAATACTTGAGGTAGTGCTGCCTCGAACTGCAGTTCACAATGAGCACAATTATATATAGTCAAAAGTTGATGTGAAAGAAAAATAGTGTGGGGTGGTGGTTGCGTCTTGAGCATATGCACACACACATGCATTGATCTAAAGAAATAAATATATAAATAGTGCCAGGCAAGGACAAACCACAAGGAGCAGCACTTTTGTTCAGGCACAAAGAGGTCCAAGGATGGGCAGACAAAAGCCACAGTCAGTGATAGATATTGCTTCTGGCAACCTTACCTGCCCCACCTGAGGCTTATAAAGCTGAGCTCCCTAGTCCTTATCTGTAGCTATCTGGTCTAAGTCCTTCTCAGGATGAGCCCTCTCACAAAGGGGCCATTACTGTTAATGGCTAAAATCCTGTTGCGTAACTCTGCATGCAACAGATAATGCCAGAGAGTTCTTAACCTATGCAATTTGCATCTAAAAGTTACACTATTCGTGTAACTGTGCAAGAGGGATTTAACCAGGTGGGTACTTTGGAAGGTAGCTACCAGTCAAGGAAATGTTTTTCTATCTACCAACACTCTACTGCATTGGCTCCCAACCTTGTATCCCCCAATGTTCTTGGATTAATACTTCCAGAAGCTTTCACTGCTAACTGTGCTGACCAGAATTTCTGGGAATTGTTGTCCAAGAACATCCACTGCGCTGACCAGAATTTCTGAGAATTGTTGTCCAAGAACATCTGGACACTCAAATTTGGGAACCATTGCTCTACAAAGTTGCCTCATCCTCTGAATCTAGGCTGTTCGGCACTCTGCTCACACAGAGTCCGGCTGTTCCGGGGCTACCAAGGCACTGTGAGGAGCGGGGCTTGGTCTACTGTACCTGGCAAGTGACTTTTTTCTGACTTTTTTTTTGGTTGCTGACTTTTTACCCCATAGGAACACATTAATTAAATTTTAATGCATTCCTATGAGAAAACGTGCTTCGCAAGATGAAATTTTTGCTAGACAGCATTAATCGTGGAATGGATTAATTTTGTTTTTTGAGGTACCACTGTATATATATTCTGCAATCTTTATATCCTCTGAATCTATGGTTCCATTTCTCGTTGAGTGTACCATCTTTTGCTTGTACCCCAGGACGGGAGTCTGGCTATCTGTCTCATTGTGAGCCCTTCCAGATGTTAAGAACTTCAGGCTCTTTAGAGTACCATTGCCTGCAGATGCTTGCTTGATGACTACATAGGAACAAGCTGTTTCCTATGTGATTCCCAGATCATAAAGTACATTTTCTTCAAAGCTCAGCAAACAGTATTTACTCTCCCTTCTTTTAGGAAGACTGTGAAGAAACATCATCTTAAAGCTGACTTTTTAAACCATTTGGCTACTGATTGTTATGTCACTCCTTCAATTATGTTAAAGGTTTAAATTATTATGATGGTTTAATTGTTTTATTGCTTGCCTTGCTTTTAACCTGTTTTTATCTTTTAGTAGAGTTTACTACTAAACCAACCAGCAGAGAGGTGGCAGCCATTTTGGAGACCTGCCTCTCAAAATGGCTGCCGCCTCTCTGCTGGTTGCCGCCTCTCAGTTGTTCGGTGCTCTGCTCACACAGAGTCTGGCTGTTCCAGGGCTACCAAGGCACTGTGAGGAGCGGGGGCTCGTTCTACTGTACCTGGTAAGTGACTTTTTTCTGACTTTTTTTTTGTTTCCTTTTTACCCCATAGGAACACATTAATTAAATTTTAATGCATTCCTATGGGAAAATGTCCTTCGCAAGACAAAATTTTTGCTAGACAGCATTAACTGTGGAACGGATTAATTTGTCTTGCGAGGCACCACTGTATATATATTCTGCAATCTTTATAAAATATGCATTTGACCAAATGGCACAAGTTGCCTAAATTGGTACCTATTTTGGTAGTGGCTCTGCATTTGCTAGCAATAAGGAAGGTTAATGGGTGACACAACAACTGGAGCCCCTCTCTTTATCAGTGAAAATACATGCTGTCTTGTCTAAACTCCTCTGCATCAAGATAAGCATGGTCATTCACATTTGTTAAACACAAAAGTATTGAATCATCTGCATCTTTTGAGACTGAACAATAGCTCCATGTTCTACAGACCTTGTGCCTGAAAGTGTTGGTTGGTTTCCAACCTGTCACAAGGTGAGCTCACTCTGAAGGGTAGCAGAACCACTTGAAGGAGTTACATTTTCATCTAACTTCTTGCAGATTTTTACTGTGAAATTCTTTGCAGGTATATTCAAACTGCAAAGGGTTCAATTGGACTTACTTCTGGGTAATTGTATATAGGATTACAACTTGAATTACCAACTGTATTCTAGCCTGTGGGATGAACCTGGATTGAGGTATACTGTAGCACAGTAGTATAGATGGATAAGTTCAGTAACTGTATTTATGCCACCCCAAACTGAAGAAGTTTGGAAGTCCTGAGTTAATTTTATGTATAAAAAGCATTTGAATGAGATTCACATTGAAGTGTAAATAGGCAAAAGATGCAAACGTGATGCTTGCAAAGATACATATGGGCACATTAAGCCTGAACATCTTAATGCACAAGGAGGTGGCTGTGTAATCAGTCAGACATGAATTTATCAACAGACATTTCAGTGCACAATAAAACAGAAATGTTTCTTTTTCAAAATTCAGGTATAATTATATTATGTGCTAAGCTTTGTATTTTCCAAAGAGCCACATGTTTTGGAAAGCTTCTATAATGCAGCCAGTTTTGTTATGCATGCTTTGCTTTATTATTTTGTTATGAAGAATTTTAAAAGATACATTGGCCAATGAAGTACCTTTTTTTCTTTATTGTAAAACATTATGGAAAGATTGATCCAGAAGGAAAAGAATCTTTGATAGTACCACACCTGTTCCCTCGACAATGAAGATGTTCATAACATTCTCATAAAAATCTGCCTTACAAATGTTTTAATTTAAATTAATTTTCCTGAGTAATAAACGACAGCAGCTAAAACTTATGAAGCCATTCAAAACTATTAAGTCAATGATTAAGAAGGCATTAACATCACAAAAACTAATTAACTAGACTACCGGTACATTGGACTTGTGTACAGCTTCCAGGAATGCAGAACATTTGAATTTCCTTTGTTGGATTTTAGATTGCTTATTTTCCCCCAGTTTCATGCGGTGGAGCTTCTTAGAACATACAGACAAATAAATGATTTACTTGTATGCAAATTATTCAGCACTGGCAATCTCATTTGTCAGTCTGCGAAAATATCTTATTATTTTCAGCTTAGAATATGTGTTTGTGTTCATATTAAAATTTGTTTCAATTCAATTCGCTAGAACTAAGCTGAAAAGCTGCAGACACTGGATTTTGTAGAAAAAGGAGGGCATATGTGAATCGCTAGCAATGTAGAAAAATAAATTATCATTTGTTGTGAAACTGGAAACCTTCCCCTACTTTTGAAAAATAGTTTACAAAGAGGTCTAGGAATGGGCTGACAGAGGCTAGAGTCAACAGAGTCAGCATTTAGATGACCACAGTAAGAGGAGGAATGATTCACAGGTGATCACTATTTGCCTGCCTAAATACTGGGTTTTGGAGAGTACAACAAGCCAATGAATTGTAAGACCTCACCTGGATGAAGATTCTCTGTCATCCAGGTGAGGTTATCTGGAAGTTGAGTCATGGCAATTGAACTTTTTTCTTGTTAGGTTGAAAAACATTTCACTACTCATCCAAGTAGCTTCTTCACTCTGAGGAGATCTCGGAGTGAAGAAGCTACTTGGATGAATAGTGAAATGTTTCAGCCTAACAGGAAAGACATCCAGTTGCATCTTACATTTTACTCATGTAAGAACTCTAGTTTTCTATTTCTCTGTGCAGTTTGCCTGTGCACACTGCATGATTGCCCCCACTTGCAGCAGTTTATTGTGTCATCCAAACATAGACATCTCCACCACCCTTGTTTGTTTCCCTCCAGAAAACCAGATTCCGTCTCTGATTGACTAGGAGAGAAACAGATCAGACAGCTGACTGTGCCTGCATTTGGATGACACAAAACACAAAATATGGAGCAAAGGCTCATGGCCATTTGCCCATATCAGCTACAAGCAGGAGCAATTCAGCGATATATACCAGCACTGGGAATATCTGAGGAATTTTCAAACCTCCCAAATTTTCTCCAAATCCAGTTCTTTTGACACTTGAATTTTTAACCAATTCAGGACTTTTCCCCATTTAAACATTTGTGGGTATCACCCTAGGATGTAGCTGTAACTCTCACCTGCTAAAATTCTTTTGTGTAAGAGGAGCTGTCACTATGGAGCCTATTCTTATTCAAACCTCTATAATATATCTAGTCATGGGAAATTGTTGGTACAGGAAAGGGTGGGATAACTTGACAATGAGCTGAATGGTTGCTGAAGCTTTGAAAATAAACTTTTCATGGATGGTAGGTAATGTGGCTCTGCAAAAACACTGTCAACTGCTGTCTCTTGAACAACTAGCAAACCAGTCAAACTGTAGATAAAGAACTAACAACTCTGTATTAAAATAGCATGTTATTTTGTCCCTGCAGATATAGTTATACTAAAACTGTCACCATGTCACAGCATTGGGATTTTTCTGTTTTTATTTCATTTACACTAGTTCTGTTTGGTTCCTGTTTTATACCATATCAGTATGTCTATACTATTGGTGTTGAATTGATTTTTTATATAATATATACTAAATCATACACCCTTTTCCCCCCTATGTATGCTTTAGCTTTTAAAAATGATGTAAAATGAATGACACCTGGTGGCTTCTAGTTGCCATTACTGGGTATTCACAGATGAAAAAATGTCAGTGTTAAAAATGCCCTTTCAATGGAAAGGGGAAAGGGGGCAACCTGAAATTCAACGCAGAGTGTGATGAGCAAACAAACCTTGTGTAGGAAAAGTGCAGATTTTCTCACTCCGATTTTCTTTGAAACCATTATACTGCTCAAAAATTAATCAATAAACTGGGGCTCCCACAGTTCCATATTCATTATGCAACCCAACCACATCAATATGACTATTGCAACCATCTTAAGACGGGTGAGCCTTAAATTGACTGTTCAGTTTCTTTGATATTTGGAATTTATATGCCACCCTCCACTTGAAAAAAGATTTTTTTTCTCTCATTCTATGTAGCATTTTGGAAGCAGGCAACTTGGGACTATTTGTGATGAGGAAACAGTTTTTAAAATCCCCTCTTTTAAGTGTCTCCCTCTCACACATCACAGCTGCTGCTTCGGGATACTTTCCCCTAAAAAGTATTCTCACAATGCAAAATATGCATTTAATATCACACATAATTTGGCCCCATCAGGTTCTCATTAGATCAATCAGAACCTAACACAAAAGAATTAGAATCCCAACAACAGCTTATGGACAAATGGGCAGCACATAATGTGACGTCTGGAGCATAATATTTACTCATTATTTTCATTGATATTTCCCCCACTTTATTATAACTGCATCAGAATCTGTTTAAAAAATTCATTAAAAACAGAAATATACAATTAGAATAAGCACATGAATTCAGGCCATACTTATATTTGTACTTATTTGTGCTTTTTTAAAAAATGAGAATTCAGGCCAAGATCCAAAGGTTTACTCTGGTATGTAATATGAGCCTTTCTTCTCCTTTCATTCCTGTTGCAGCTTTCCATCATGTTTCTTCACAGAGCTTCCACACAAGTTTTTGGGGATCACAGGAGACTTAGAATCTGGCAGCAGCAGCAGCAAGATCTTGTGGAGGGACGCTACTGGATTCTGGCTGACTTAAATGCTGTAGACTCCATGCCGAGAAGTCTACAGATTTTAGATTGCCTTAAACCAGTTTCTAATTGTTCCCTCTCTCCTCTTAAATCTTCTAGTGTATACAGGGAACCAGAGGAAGGAGAGAATGTTGTCCCTCACCTGGCTGACCACTTTACAGAAACTTAAAGCATCAAAGAGTGAAGTTCGTCAAATGCTATGGGGCACTATATAAGCAGCTTTCCTTCCCTTTCCTTTGCTGTTTTAGTTATTTGTGCTTACCACAGATAAGAGGCTGTTTGCAAACCTACATTCATTCCTGAAGGGAGCTGAAGAAGCTGGTGCTTGGATTACAAGCTACACTTGTGCAATATCCAGCATTTCCTTGCATTTTGTGTGATGATATCATGATGGGCTACTTGAAAATTGAGGAACATTCTTAGAATTTAAATATTGACAAGAACGAGGACCTTACCTGACACAATATAGATACAAAGTTGTAGATGAAATGATGAACAGAATGGCATAAAGCAAGATGGTTATCAATGCACCAGGAATGCCAGATCCTTCTGCCCGTAAAAAAAGCCAGTACAGCTTGGCACAATCAGCAGTTGGTTTGTCTGGAGTGTAGTAAAGCCGCTGAAATAGTTTTATCAAAATAACCATGGTAAGATAGCAATAATAATAATAATAAGTAGTGCCAGCACACGCAGACATATTTCTAAATCAATGTGCAGAGCAATTTAGGATAGAGATGGATGCCAGTGACACATGAGCTGGATGGCAATACAACTGGTGGCTGCCCTTCCCACTTGCTGGAGGGCTTGCCTTCTGACTTGAGAAGGACAAATTCCATCCTTACTGGGAGCAACTTTATGGAGATGTAATTCAATGTATCTTCAGCTTTCCTATTGTGTTGTTATGGGGCTGATGCAGGGATGATGAACCCAGCTGTTGCGCACCCCCAGTGACTCCTGTATATTTTGCCTCTCACACAGGTTCACCTTTGGACATGACTTGTTCTTTTCCCCTTTTTCGCTCCCACCAGAGGATATCATCCTCAATATATCAATTATGAATCTCACACTCTTGCTGCCAAATATAATAAGGTTTATTTATGGAGTAGTAAGTAAATCGCAGATGGAAAATCATGGATGTTCTATTATCACTCATTCAATAAACACGGATTTGATTACTTATAAGCCTGCTTGTCTTCATTTACTTTAATCAAGGTTTCAATATATTCTGACTGTCAATGTACTTCTAATTCCTTTTAATTCTTTAATATTCTCTAACAAACCAACTGTCCAATATCTTGTCTAAACACGTCACAGTCTTCTCCCTAACTGACTCTCTGTCTCTCTCTAACTGCCTCTCTGGCACGCCCAGTTCTCTTGACTCCTCCCCTCCTGTCCTGTCATAGGCTCCTGCACTAGAACTCTAAAATGACTGACAGGAGTGACATGTGGACTGTCCGCCACATCCCTCCCCCCTTGGAAAGTTTGTATCATGGGGTAACACCTATAGTAGGTTACCCTCATGAACAACACATGAGATAACTTACCCATATTTTAAATATATTCTTTAAAACATTGCTCAGTTAAACATATACCATATATACTTATTCAATTACACAGTTTAAAGCATATTAATATTATTACTTTATTTTTACATTTATCAACATTTTTATTACTTACAATACAAACCTTACTATTAAATCATCTATAACTTACATTATTAATTATTTTTCAAAGTAATACACACTTTGAACTTTGAATTAGAGCAGTTTTTATAACATTAAAGTCACATATTACATTAGTCCCTTTTGTCAGTCTTCTGGTCTTCTTGACAAGGCATCGGCCACCACATTTTGAGTCCCTTTAACACTCTGGATCCCAAAGTCACAGTCTTGTAGGAGTATGGCCCACCACATCAACTTCTTATTCTTTGCTCTGATAGTCTGCAACCACAGCCATGGGGAATGGTCTGTGCATGGAACAAATGTCTTTCCCATATGTATGGTCCGAGCTTCCACAAAGACCATACAATCGCCAGACACTCACGGTCTATGGTGGGAAGGTCTTTCCCAAATGTCTTTCCACAAAGACCATACAATCTCCAGACACTCACGGTCTATGGTGGGAAGGTGTCTCTTGCCAGCCTGCAGCTTTTTGCTTATGAACATCACTGGATGAAGGTCCTCATTGTCGTCCTCCTGGCTCAGCACGGCTCAATGGAATTCTGGTGCTCTCGGGACAGAACCGGTCATCAGCGCAGTTTCTAACCTCTCGAAGGTCTCCTCCCAGTCACTTGACCATTGGACCCCACCAGCTTAAGTTTGAAAAAGGGGCCTCTATTTCACTGAAGTTCTGGATAGAGCACCTCTCATAGCCTCCTAACCCTAAGAACGATCTGATCTTTTTCTTTGTTGTGGGTTTAGGCCAGCTACTGATTTCTTTCATCTTTGGTGTTAGGTGTTTGATTATGCCTCCCCCAACACTTTGGCCTAATTCTTTTAACTTGGAGTTACCCAGCTGGCATTTACTAGCCTCCACTGTTAATCTGGCCTCATGTATTCTTAATAGCACTTTCTCACTATGGTATATGGGATATGTACACATCTGACTATAGATCATTATCTTATTTATGTATGTGACCATGAATTCTCTAAGCTTGATCAAGTTTACATGGATCACTCTTTGACCTTCTTCTACTTCTTCTTGAATCATGTAATTTATTTCATTCATCTTGGAGTTTATTCTAACAGGATTTGCCCAGTTTATTTGCATCTTATTCCCTTTATAGACCTCAGCATCAGGACTTTCTGTCCTGGACTGAATGATCTTTCTCTGGCCTTTTTTTCCTGCCATAACTTCTGCTTTCCTTGCTGGCTTCTGCAAGTTTTCTGTGGTTAACTTCAGAGATTGTAGCAAGGATTTCATTAAATTATCTATGTACTGGATCACTGTCTCTGGGTATTCTCTCTGTTGTTTCTTCCAATTTAGTCCGTGTAAATCTAAGGATCCTAGCACTTTCCATCCAAACAGCAGTTCAAAAGGACTGAACTCAATGACTTCCTGGGGTACAGACCGGCATGCATATACCCAGGGTTTTATCTTGTGATCCCAGTCATTGGGGTTTTCTGCTGCATAAGTTCTGATCATTCGCATTCGGGTCTCATTACATTTCTCCCCTAATTCATTTGTCTGAGTATGGTATGGGGATGATGTAATATGAGCTATGCCACAAAGTTGTCACAGCCTTTTCATTAATCTGGAAGTGAGTGATATTCCTCTTTTTGGTTGTTGTGGCTTTTTCGGGCTCTTTGGCCGTGTTCTGAGGGTTGTTCTTCCTAATGTTTCACCAGTCTATGTGGCCAAATTTCACCTCAGAGAATTTGGGGTTCTTTATATCTGTATTATAGTCAACAGTTTCACTTGTCTCCTGTACATTCTTGGGCTTTTGTCTATGACTAAGTACCTCAATTCTTCTGGCAGAACCAAATAAAATTGTTCTAACCCTATAATATTTTTCTTCTAAAGACTCGACAATTGCCTGCTCTAGCCATTTCTCCAAGTATCTGACTAGAATTGCCCCCAATTGAGAATATGATTCCTCAGGCTTTTTAGTCAATCCTCAAACTTTTCACCTCAGATGTTCAGCATTGATCCCAAACCTCGAGAAAACCAATTTTTTGTATGCCTCATAGTCTCAGGCTTGATCTAAAGGCATTTGGGAATAAATATCAGCTAAGTCTCCATTTATTTGAGACCTTAGCATTACCATTCTTTCTTCCCCTCTCACGTTAAAATCCCAGCACGCACGCTCAAATGCAATCAGGAATGCTTCTGGGTAATCATCCTTTCTAAATTCAGGGAATTTCTTAAGATCCACTTTTGAGACCCCCTCAGTTGTATTATTACTGTTGTTACAGTTTAGAGATGCCAATTCTATTTTTTCATTTCTAATTGGTACTCCATTTCTTTTTCTCTCATGTCCAGTTGTCTCTTTTCTTGTTCCATGGCCATGGCCAATTCTCTTTCTTTTAATTCTAACTGTCTCGCTTCTGCCTCAGCTTTTTCTCTCATTTATAATTGTTTGGCTTCAGCATCAGCCCTAGTTCTTCTGCCTCAACCCTAGTTCTTATTTCTAACTCCTTTAATTTAAATTCCTGTTGCAACCTCCATCTTTCAAATTCTTGGGAGGTTAACCCAGTTTGTCTCTTTGAGGCATCCTCCTCCTGAGTCTCTTCTTGCTCAGATATTTCAAGAGGGTCCCCCTCTTCATGAGGTAAATCTTGAGGATCTGATACCTCCATTGCTACCTTCTTCCCTCGTTTAGAAGGCATGTTTATTTGTAATTTATTTGGACAAGTTGGTTTATTCTACTGAGATAAATAGTCAAGCCTCGGTTTAAAATGTTTTTTCCCCCTTTTCTAAGTTAGAGTTACTCTATAGCTCTCCGTTGGCAGCCACAGATTGCTACTATATTTCTTCTGGCACCCAGCCAGTCCCTTGGTCTGAGACACTGCTTCTCTTTGCCTCCAGACACCGAAATTGTTCAGAAATATTCATTTTATTCAAGCCTCTGTTGGTTTCAGTCACCTTAGCTATGTTTATGACCCTGGCTTCCACTTGTCCCTTCAACGCTCCCTTCTCAGAGCTTGGGATCTCAAGCTAGCCTACTGTTCTTCTCACTTAAAGCGTGAGGTAACCTTAAAGCACTGAATTTTCCTCAGAGCCTCTTCCTGTCCTTAGTCTTTCCCCAGGTCTGTGATCAGGAGTCCCTTTTAAGCTTTTCACTAAGAACTCTAGAGGGTTTCCCACTCCTTCTCGACAATGCCAGACTAACAGGTCCCTTAGACTCAGAAAATTCACTTTTTACTTTGGCTTACTGGACTTTTAATCACATCCCACTGTCGTGTCCACTCAGTGTCCCTTGTTTGTCCTCCCCACACACTCAGGTCCTCCCTCTGGATGCGTTTTGATGCTGCCACCAGTGGATCTAGTCCACACTATACCAAATATATGTCTCTCAGATGTGTGCTGCCAATACAACAGGTTTATTAATCTTTTATTTGGTAAATCACAGATGTTCCTTTATTTCTGTTTAAGTTCTCTCATTAAAGTACAGTGGTGCCTCGCTTAGCGAGTGCACCGTATAGCGATGTTTCCGTATAGCGATCCTTTTTTCGGGATCGCTATACGGAAACATACCTGATCTTCGCAATGGGGAAAACCCGCATTGCGAAGATCGGGTATTGTGGCGGCCATTTTGGAGCCGCCGAACAGCTGTTCGGTGGCTCCAAAATGGCCACCGGAAGCCCGGAAATGGCTGCCGGCAGCCGTTTTCACGCCCTGCCCTTGCTTAGCGAGGGCGCGAAAATGGCTGCCGGCAAGGGGAATCCTCGCTGAACGGGTATGTAAGCAAGGTATTGGAACGCATTAAACTAAGTTTAATGCGTTTCAATACGTTTTCTCTCAGATGTGTGCTGCCAATACAACAGGTTTATTAATCTTTTATTTGGTAATTCACAGATGTTCCTTTATTTCTGTTTAAGATCTCTCATTAAAGTACGTGGGTTTGATTACACATTTGCTTGCATATACTTATTCACAATAACCACTTCAACAATACTCTTTGACTATCTATTCACTATTCCTTCCAACTCTTTCCTATTCTGTTTAACACTCCAACTTTCTAATCTCTGTCATAACTCTCTTAATTCAATATCCTCACTCTCTCAATTCAATCTCCCCCTCTCTCCTTTTCTCTAGCTGTCTGTCACTCTAGCTCCACCCCTCCTGTCCTATCATAGTCTCCTGCACATGAGCTCCATATGATGGACAGGAGTGACATGGGCATTCTGCCACATACTGCCACAAGGTCTAACTACAGGATTTCTCCCAAAGGTCTGGATTACCCTGCAGCATGATCCTGTGCATTTTTGCTTTAAGTCCCAATCCAACTGATGTTAATATTGGCCCACAATTGATTAGGTCCCCACTGATCCTAAACATGGTACAAAACCTCTTTCTTCCCACCCCTAATAGAGAAAGAAACCCTTTGTGGGCCTCTGTTAGAAACTTTGCAAGGAAGCTATATTTAACCTTGCAAATGCTTTATTTTATTTTATTTTACACATTTATATTCTTCTTTTTTCCCTTGCAGGACCCAAGGTGGCTGACAACATACATTTAAAAGCAGATTAAGCTACAAACACAGAGACCAGAATCCTACCAACAATTTATACTTTGGAAACCATGTAAGTCCTGGTGGCAAATATCCACTCATTGATGAAGTGCTGGTTGCACTCCAAAGAACAAGCCTAATTACACAATCAGGTATGTTAAAAACGTTAAGCGATCGCATTAGCGATCCGAAAAAACAGATCGCTATGCGATTTCATCGTTATCCGGTGCGCTCGTTAAGCGAGGCACCACTGTATCCACTCATTGATGAAATGCTGGTTGCACTCCAAAGAACAAGCCTAATTACACAATCAGGTATGTGCCCTGGAACACAAACAAAACCTTGTTATTAAGTGGCAATTTGCCTTCAAGACTTACATGAGTTCCTCTAGGCAAGCATAAATTGGCAATATGATACTGGCTAATACTGTAAGTTACTGTATTAAAACAATTTGTAGAGAGAGAGAGAGAGCGCGCCATATTGTGTTTCATCAACAATAACAACAAAAATGTATTGTGACACATTTGTTCCAATGCAAGTTGCCATGGGCTTTTGTTGTTGTTATGTACCATCAAGTTTCCTTCAACCCATGAACGAGTAACCTCCCAAATATCCTACTGTTAACAGCCCTGCTTTGGCTGTTACAGACTCAACTCCATCGGTTATAATCCACTTATTCAGACAGAGAGTAAAACAGTCTTGGAACAGCCAATACTAAATTACCAGAAATATTAATTTAATATAGTGTAAAAACAATTTCAACTGACAACAAAGATAAGAACAACACGCACCATTAGAAGGTCCTTTCTCATCAATCTATCAGTGGTCAAAGACCTGTCTAAAGAAAAATGCTGTCACCTGCTAGCAGATAGCCTAACTTCCATCAGAGATGGCCAGCCTAGCCTCACTCAGAAGGCAGCTCCAACGCCCAGCAGAAGCCACTGCTAAGGTCCACTCTCATGTTTTTACCGAACATTCCTCTGATGGCAGTAAAGGATGGCTCTTTCCTGAATATCTATATGGCTTTTTAATTCAACAACTAAGGTTCAACAGACAACAGTATTATACCTAATAGACTTGTGCAGTTTTCAAGATACACTTTTAATTTACACAGTACATCTTCTGACACCATTATTGTTGAGGTTTCTCTTTCTGAACTGTCAAGTTATCAGTACTTTTGCTTTTAATAATAAAAAATAAATAAAAATAAAAGTGAGTCACCACAGATCCCTCTTTTCCAGAGCTATCAATCTGTCAACTTCCATAAGCGCTAAGTCCACTAAGAATTTTAAAAGATATTAGATCATTAAAATAACTCATGTCACATTACCACAACATAACATTTTTAAATGCTTGATCTAAAATAAATTGATTGGCAAGTAAATCTGAAATAGCAGCTGAAGGGATGCCAAGGAAGGGAAACCAAATTGCAAGAACAAATATGGGAAACACATGTAAGGGATTCAGTTTCATTTTGAAATGGGATATGCCCCTTTGCATGGTATTCATTTAAATGCGTTCCTTGTGCGGGCAATTTTGGCAGAAAATATTGCCAATTTTTCAGCACAGAGCAAGGTGTAGTTCTCAGAACTTCTCAAATCAAAGTCAAACTGGAAACTGTCTCAGACATCCAAGTTTCAGGTCTACTGGGGTCTGTGCTGCAGAAGATGGTGATTTATCAATATTCATGTCATGATTTCCTTTAACCAGAAGAGAGGAGCTTACATTCTGCTAAGTGTTTAAAGCATGTTCTTTTGAATATAATATTGACAGGACAAAACTTGATCTATTCACATTAACTGCAATTTGAAAATATGCAACTATTATTTGTCTGGGGGGGGGGGAAACTAAAGGGTGTATGTGAAAGCATTCCTCCAAACTGTAATTCTTAGTAGGACATGAACCTGGTAGTCAACCTAGCTCCAGGGGCGGGAAACAATAATTTAATGAATGAAAACTCAAGCTATTCTTTTAAGGAGTCTCTTTACTGTGTCTATGTGTAGGTGTAGGCATATGCATAAGTGTATGTGTTTGTATGTGTGTGCACGGCCAAAAGCAGCATGAATGGGCAAGACTAAACACACAGCTGTGTGTACATGATTTTCAAGAATGGTATTTTGCTTTATGGAAATGGCAAAATTTTAAAGATGCCTAATACAAAAATCCCTGCAGTTATCTGTCTGAAATTTACTCCTGTCTTTAAGGTCTATCATATACAAACTTCATGTACCGCAGCACAAAAATTAAATAGTTGCAGCTATTTTGGCATTTCAGTAAGAAGGTTGAAGATTCAAATGACAAATCAGTTCAGATCTAGAGCATAAAGTGGGGTCTGATTCAAATTTATATCCGTCCCAAAGTGCAGAACCGGCTTCTGAAGCATGCTGGGGGATGCACACAGAGCCATTATTCTTATACTACATTTCTTGTTTTCATCTGTATCCTTAGTATATGCCTCATTCATTTTATAGACAGGAAGAAAAGAGAAATCACACATCTTTCAATTTTAAAAAGTGATTAGCAGCACATAATATATTCATTCCTTCATTCTAGAAGTTGCATACCTTGTCGCTAGGGGTAGAATTTCATATATTTTGTTGAGTCATCAAATAAAACAAACTTCTACATCAAGGTCTTGCGTCTCAGTTATTTTAAGTGACTTACCCCCAGGACCGCATCCACTAGAAACACTGCCAAAGGGTCTAGCACTGTCCAGAGTCCCCAAGCCATGATCAGTTTTGACAAGTAAGAAGGGAATGATCCAAACAACAGCTGACAGCTCCATCTCATCAGAACCATAAGAAGCATCAATGCATTTAAGGTCAAAGGTCCCACCACAATCATGGCCACTTCTTCCCGAGTGTGTAGCAAAGAGTTCTGGTAGCACAGATCCACAGTGTAAAGGTAGAACTGAAATCTGGAAAGAAAAGGGGTCAGATGGAACATTCAGTGGCATTAAAAACCCAAATAGACACAGTAGTGTCAGGAACTCTCCTACTTGCATCAATTAATCTTTCCAGCCTAGACATCAAAAACTTCTGATCCATGGGAGCTTTGGCCCAGAAATAGTGATAGAAGAGCAAAATTCAAAACTGCATGACTGCAGCATGCCTAGGACAGGACTCGGTGTGGGTCACATTTCAGAAAGGCTGAACAGAACCACAGAACTTAAAAGGCTTGTTCTTAAGCCCTACCTACACTGACTAATCCTGTCTGTAACAGAGAATGGGCAACATGTTTGAATTAGTGTTCTGTATTCGTCTTTACTTTTGCAGGATGCAAAGGCTGAGGTTTCATATTAGAACAATGCCATAGTTCTAATCTTCATTACTGATAAGCAGGTAGAATCCTATAAGTAGAGGTAAAAAATAATGGCTCCATGGATGGGCATTCCACATCTGTGCTCATTCTCTGGCTATGACATAGACCACCCTATTATCAGCCACATGGCTTCTGCATGTGCAAGGAGTAATGAATTCCCCCTTGCACAAAAACAAAAGAGCCAAATATACTGCAGCATACACGTGTAGTTTGAAGTAAGCGCACAGGAGTACAGTAGATTTGTTGGTCTATAGACATAAAAAAGGTTATAAAAATGTTTTAAGAACTCTATTTTCAGAAGCTGAAAGTAACTAGATACAAGTAACTAAGTTGACTAAGTTATTACTTTGTACTAAGTTGACTGTTAATGATTAAGTTATTACTTTTGCATAAAGAAAAATGAAATACATTTAATTTTTAGGTTGACAAGTAACACCAATCTCCTTTCTAAAGCTACAGTTCATGGTATATTTAAAGGCTTTCTGAGATGAATTTTTCAAGTTTTATGTCATTATAAGTCTTAAGTGGCAAGGCAAACATTATTTATTTTTGTGTTACGGATTTTTTAATAAATATTCCCAAGTCACAGTATCAGAATTAGCCACAAGAGGGAACCAGAAAGTTACCATTGCTTGAATGTTTGTGGCCTCTTGGCAACAATGATGCAACACAACGCAACAAATTACTTGAATGATTGGAGCAATAATAATGACAGACTTGCTACAGAGAAAAAAAAAGAGTAACACAATGGTTGGAATCCAGTAACATAAAGTTACACCACGTAAGTATGATGATGTCATCAGCTGCATAAAAGGTTTCCAGTTCAGCTGCCTCCAGAAAATTCCTAGGGTGCATTCACATCCCTTTGGTCCAGGAGAAGAATTTGTGGCCTGTGGAATTGGGTGGGTGGGGGGCTTAAACGTCTGAACATTTGTCCTGCCAATACTACTGGGGCTGCCAGGACTACCTGTGGCAATGTTCAGACATTTAAGACTTCTTTCTACTGTCCTGCTGTCCTCAAAGGCTTCCTCAGAAATAAAGGGAGACTAAGCGAGTATTGGAACCTGGAAACTTTAACAAAATATGGTTATGCCTAATGACATTATCAGGCTTACATGCCATAACTTTACATTACTGAATTTCAGCCAGAGAGTCCCAACAATCTGTCTACTTTAGACATTACATAATCCTGTGTGTTTGTGTATGTATGTACAGTGTGTGTTTGTTTTTGATTATTCATAGGCCAACTTTTCTCCCAATAAAAGGATCCAAGGTGGCTCACAATATTAAATGACTGAATGGGTTAAACATTAAAAAGCAATTAAACTATACACAAATTCAATACAACTGAATAATTAAAAGCACGTAAACATTACAAAAAACCTTAACAATGGCATCCAGAGACTTAATCGTGAGTTTTGACTGAAAAGATGGGTCTTCAACTGTTGGTGGATAGAGAAAAGGGCCAGCCTGATTTCTCGAGGGAGAGCATTCCATAACTTGAGAGCTGCCACAGAGAAGGCCCTCTCTTGTGACCCATCACCTCTACCTGTGCTGGCAATGGGACCGAGAGGAGGGCCTCTATCTGTGCTGGCAATGGGACTGAGAGGAGGGCTCCTATGGGGAGATATGGTCCCAATGATATGATTATTATAGCAATCTTTACCGCAAACTCATACTTACTTTGTAACAGGAACTGAGAGAGCTTGAAGTAAGACCCATTGACTGCAATAATGCAAATACAGGCGGCCGAACCAGAGCAAAGCCACCAGCAGCATGAGGAACCAAAAGTACCAGGAATACCAACGGCCCCTTCCCAGTTCTGAAAAAACTGTATATACACCAAAGTAGAAGTGCTTGGTTGTGCTGGTGAATGCTCTTGTTTCAAGGGCAGGATGACAGCTGTAATGACAGAGAATGAGAAACAGTGAAAGGTGTGGCAAGAAACATAACTATGTGTGGAATCATACCACAAATATGAACTTGAACTATGGTCTATAGCTTTTAGATGAATATAATTGCTGATTTCTGTTTAAAACTCTCTTCTCATGTACACTGGGATACAGAATAATGTAAGTAGTAGCTAAATTCATAAGACAAGCGTCAATATTCTAGTCCACCTGAGAGCAAAACCCTGCCCTTTAGAAGCCCTGACCCATTGCTAGGTGACACGAGTCTCATGTAGCTGCCAAGGGTAACACTGCGTGAGGCCTGAGTGGTGCACGGCCTTTATGTGGAACTCCTTCTGCCCCCTCTGACCTGAATCTTGAACCTACGTACGTATTTCTCAGCCACACTTTTTATTTTACTGGGCTTAGACAGGGACTTGTCTCCATAGCATATGTTAATCTACCCACCATTAGCTTTGAAGTGGTTCTTAGCAATCACCATTAAGACTTGTACCTGTCTCCTCCTCACATGATCTTAATGTCCACTGTTAAGATCATCACTCTGTTGGACATTTTGGGTTCCATTACATGTCACATTCTCTTTCTCCCCTTGTTTCCAGAAATGTCTGCCTACCCAAGGACACATTTCAGACATCTGAAGAAGTGGTCTATCACCCCCAAAGGTTATGCCAAATAATATATGAAATTACACAAAAATACAGAAAACTAGACTGCTTCAGTCACTTAACAAGAACTGGAAACTACAGATGGTTATAGCTGCTTACTGAAAGCAACATAAATAAGGGGCAGGGAGTGAATGGAGGGAAAACAACTTATTGGTTGCAGAATTATAAAGAATTGTTGTTGCTTTGACTTATATAGTGGCAGAACACTATAATTATGCAAACAACACTTTGCCCTTCTCCCCAGTGAGCTGGGTACTCATTTTACTGACCTTGGAAGGATGGAAGGCTGAGTCAACCTTGAGTTGGCTACCTGAACCTGTTGGGATCAAATTCAGGTCGTGAACAGAGGCTTGACCGCAGTGCTGCAATTTAACCACTGTGCCAAACGCTCACTAAGAATATTGATGTCTTCACACACAAATACAACAATACTTGCTGGTCATTATGAAATTACTATGACACTCATTGGACAGATCTATCAAGATTTATGTGTTCTGGTCCATGGGGTCACGAAGAGTCGGACATGACTAAATGACTAGACAACGATGATCAAGATTTATATGCCAGACTCCAGAGTATACCAGTTTGCCCTGCAAATCCAAAGCGGAGGTCTAGTTTTAGACTTGCACATATTAAAAGGCCTCACAGAATGTGCAACTAAATAATGGTTTAGATGAGAGGTTGGCATGAACCATTGGTTTGGCAGTTTGTGCCAGTTAATTTATTGGCTAAATAGGTGTTTGGTGCTTCAAAGCCCTGCCTTTTCTGGCAGGCGCCCACTTGGAGGGCATTGGGCACTGCTGGAAGAGGTGGGGCTTTGAAGTGCCAAACTCCTGTTTGGCCAATCAATGAATTGGCATGAACTTCTGAATCTGCAGTTTATGCTCATCTCTAGTTTAGAGGCAGTATATCACTCTTTAAAGCTGCCATATCAAAGGCAGAATAGCCAACCTCCATTAGGAGAGGAATATGAAGAAGGAGGGGAGGAATAAAACAACTTTCAGATTCCACAAGAGTCTTTGAACAATAGCCCATTAGCAAACATGGCACATGAGAGCTTCATGGGTGGAACACTCCATGTGCTTGGCCTGTGTCTTACAGTTATATAAAGTTACATAAAGTCATATCATTGCACAAACTTCTGCTTGTGTAAGGGGGGGTAATGAATACCCCTTTGCACAAATACTGGCAGTGAAAACTGCATCGGCTGTTGTGAGCATGGTAAAAATGGGCATGATTTTGGCCACCTCTGTTGGCTGCAACAGATTACAGACTAGCATGGTCATCTCTTCAGAGGTTTCAGAAATATCCGTCAGTTTAAAAGGCATACAATTTTCACAATGGCAAATACAGGCTCAATCATCAAATCAGAGATGAAAAGATGTGGTATGTTGACTGCTAGTTTTGGATATTTAAGATCTGGACTGCTGTTTTGGCAACAAAATGGTTGCTGAAAATTGTAACCCTTAATTTTTTGAGAACCCTGAGTGATGCATACATGGTTAAAAACTTGAATAATAAGAATAAGAATAATTATTAACATCACTTGAAAGCTTTCTCCATTTCTTTCATTACACAGATGATTTGTTCTCTACACTACCCATAAAGTCCATTTTGGTAGGAAATAATTGCAGCAGGGCTATTGTAGAAATTTTCCTCCCCACAATCAATGAGTTAAGTGTTTAATGGTCCTGTGATGTCCATTGGCACATTTTTATGTATAAACAGGCCTGAAAGCTGTTCTGAAACTGGCTGTCACTGGAGAGAGAAAACAGAAAGGAAGTTGCACAGCGCAATCATTTACTGCTCAATGTGGTGTGATCTGCCCTTTAGTTAATTACTGCACTTCTTCAAAGAAATGAAAAAAAAAGGCAAGCACACAGATGCAAACTTGGCATTCTGTCTGCAAGAAACGGGAAAAATCTTTGCTGATTCAAAGCAGAAAAGACAGTTGCTTCTTTGACCTTTGCAAACTTCTAGCTGTTGTGCATATCTCCATTGATTAAAATGACTAAGCAACTCAGCCCACCAAACAGGATGTCCACACACTTGTACCATTATTTTTACATTGGTGCAGTACTTTAAACCTTCAAGAAGCATAAAGGTCTTGCAATCAAAGCATGGGAAAATGCTGGGCGGTTGTTGTTTTGTCCTTAGAAATATCAAATGAGGACAAGCAACAAACAAACTTTTCTACTTTTTAATTCCTCTTTATGTATATATCAGGATGCCCGTATCCCTCCCACAAAGAGAGGAACAGCCCAAAAGCCACATGCAGCCCACTAAGTTCTTTCGAAGCTCTCTGCCCTATGGACTCACCCCATGTTCTCAAACTGCCTAGCCCCCACCAAAGATAAATTGCTGTTCCTGGAGACTTTGCGGCACTGACCGCAGCACTTTTAAACTCAAACACATGGTCAAAAAGAAGACACACTTTTCAAAATTCAAAATGGCATTCTGGCTACTTCTGGCTTCATTCCTCCCACCATTTTGGTGGTTTGTGTGAGTCCAGAGGCTTCTGGGGCAGAAAGACCCTTTGACAGTGCCCCCACTCCACATGAGAGGTAAGAAGTCCCATCACTAACGAAAACACCAAGCGGCTTAGCTGTGCCTCACCTACGAAGATCTCACAGGTTATATGACAGCTGTCCTTAGAGGGGCCAGTCCTAGAAGCATGACTGCATGAGCAAGAAAACAGCACATACTAGGTGATAGGGAATGGAGGAGCTACCCAGTGAGAGCTGTTTTTTTAAGGCTGCACATTGTAGTGGCTTAAATTAAGAGACCTTATATCTTCAGGTGACAATCTCACATAACGGCTACTTTGTAAATTTATTTTTGTGTGGATTCTACAATACAACATGACTCTAGAATACAAACACTTTCTATCTGGGCATGAAGGTCAATGGTCTTCATCAGCCTTTTAAGTATGCAGCAATCATTTGTGGCCTTTACAGAATAATTTTAGAAAGATGATGCCAGAACCAAGCACATCCATCTCAACACATTAGCCATGTACCTGAAGATGAGCACATCAGAAATTAATCTGGGAGACATCATGGTGACCTGGACTCAAAATATTTGGGACCTCCACAGGTGAAAAACAACATCACTATTTTGAACTGAGTGCAACATTTAATTTAATCTTCTTCAGTGGTCTGTCATACTTTTGAAGATAGAGGCATGGCATCTGGGTGCTCTTGGGCTCCTCTCCAAGCTTGGATGACCCAAGGATAGTTACAGTTAGGGCGCTATTCCAGACCTTTGGTTGGTGTGTCAACTCTGTTCATTGCTAGACACTTCAGATCTGTCCACAGTGGCATATGTTTTAGTTATATCACATTTAGATTACTGTAATTCTAGTCCTGGCTGCCTTTGAAAAGTGTTTGGAAATTATCAGTTGACTGGAGTTTGGAGTTGTACTGTTTTTTGGCTTGTTTCCAAGGTGGATTCAAAGTGCTGAATATGACCTTTCAAACTGTAAAAAGCTTAAGACTTCTCCAAGTATTTAGATTTTCTCTGTTTAGATTAGCAGGAGAGGCGCTCCTCTGCATCCTGACAACCTCTGAGATGCAGTTGGTGGGGAGGGAAGGGGCAAGCCCTTTCAGTGGCTGCTCTACAGGCCTGGAATTTTATCCCAAAGGAGATCTGTAGAGTCACAACTATGTTAGCTTTCCAGGTAAAGATTTTGTCTGCCAAGTGTTCATCCTGATGTGTTGACTTGCTTTGGTCTAGGAGCAGAGGGAGAGAAAGGGTATGTGTGTGTTTGTGCGCAAACATTCTCTTGCAGTACTATTTCCAAGCTTTCTGTTTCAACCAGCTTTGGCTTTTATCTGTTCTTGCCTTTGCTGTGCCATTCGTAAAAAGAGTAGATCTTTAATCTAGATGGGTGGGGTAGAAGTCTAACAAATAAATAAATAACTAAATAAAGTATTTTTATTTTCATTTTTAGGTTAGCTGTCTTGGACTATGAAAATGGTAAGGCTGAACACCAGCATTTTGTAATGAAGAAAGGGGGAAATAGAAGCCAATGCAGTCAGTATTTCCAAGCAAATTTCATATGAAAAGACTACGGGACAACTAGTTACCCAGTCATGGTTCGTATTTTTGTTGAGGACCCAGAGGCACCAGTTCAGTGAAGGGGAATCTCTGGACTTGCTTCTTGGTTTGTGGGGCCCAGGGGAGGGGAGGGGACAACTTCAGGGGCTAGCTTAGCTAAAGGTCTCCCTTGCGGGGGGTGTGTGTGTAGCACTTAACCTAACTGAAGGACTTGGGAGGGTCTGTGGGCTTGGCTGACCTTCTTTAACAATGGATGCCAGTCAGGGAT